TGCGCGGGCTGCGAATTTACTCAACATCATGACGTGTAATCGGGGCACCTCGAATTCTGTCTCGCATCGTCTTTTAACTTGAGTTTGTGCACCAGTGCATACATGAATTTAGTAGCGTAGCTAATTGCAGTCGTCCAGCCTTGCCTTAACATGCTTCTTGCCTTGCGCCTACTGACTTTCTAGTCCGTGTGTACGGTAGTAGGCCATTAATCAATGTAAGTGCAGACGATCAATACCTTTTCTTATATCCGTCAAGATATACATGTGTACACAAGCATTTTACGTCCCTTGGTCCTTGGTTCAGCACGGTCGTGGATCAAGAGGATGTCCCTGTAGTTGACTACGGTTTATCAATGCGCCGATAGATTAACGCACTTCGCTTACTTTCGGTCTGCTTTTGCGGAATACGAAATTCGCCTGCATGATAGGCTTGTAAACAAAAGCTCAATTAGGTTAAGATAAGGATAGTATTATTGCTGATTATGATGGCGGACGATGAGTTAACAACTAGTTCCGTTTCAAGATGATCGTTGTCGATGGGACCTAAACATGGAAATTGTAGGCACAATTACTGTGGGCATGAACTGAGATTACATTGGCTTCCCCAGTTAATTCATTATTTTGGATTTTAGATTTCGTTGTATATAATATATATTTTATTAGCAAAGACTTTGTTGTACATATTTAGAAGTTTGTGGCAGCAATATTAAGCTCGTTTAGCCTTTTGCATACGCAAAAACTACAGGCTGCATTGCCACATTCTAGGAATACTCAGTGAGACGCATCCATCAGATCAGAGGATTCGAACCGACAACCACAAGCGGTTTGCACTGCGATTCATCTGCTTTTATCACTGGGCTGCGTGGAGCAGCTTCGGATCGTCAATATTTACAAGCTAACTTTGATACAGCGCTTCAAAACATCTAACGTCATGCAGATTAGCAAGGTTGCAGAGGGGAGGGATTGCTTCGGGAAATGCGACGATACAAACCGACGCATTTGCTAACGGTCAAGGATGGACTATTCAATAACAGCAATGCTTGCGCATTCAATGGATGCAACATACAAAAGCGTTCATCTAGTAGGATGTATTTATGTAATTATTACGAAATGCCTGCTGTGTAATTTGTCTTTTATTCCGGGCTGAATTCATCCGCATTGTACGAGCTGCTAGTGTATTAATTCATCATGGGCTGAAAATACTTACCGACAAATTAAACGAAGTGCGCTTCTTTTTCTAACTTTAAAATATATTGTATTACTCCATTACACCATTGGAGTTATCTTAAATTACATGACGCTTGCTGTATTCTGTAATTCGAAAATTAAATATGGAAAATGTATTAGCTCCCTATATGGTTATCGCTATATTTAACGGAAAAAGATAAATTACGGGTGTCAGTTTCCTCCGTTTCCTTTGTTGAATTTATCGCTAGTAAATGAATGCTACTTTTATAACTTACAAAAATGCACATACTATCAGAAATGCAAAGAACATGTTCTGTTGACATAAAAGCATCCCAGAAGCTGAAATCATTGACTGTGTTTCGACATAACTGACTTTATTACATTGGTGAATACTGATTTATGGTTCTACTGATTAAGCTGTTAATGCCCAAGCACGCTCACTGAGCTCACTGTCAAATAAATTGAAACATCTTCTAACAAATATCAGGTAGGCATTAGCGTTTCCTAATAGCTGCTGAAATACAACAACGGATAACCAGAAAACGTAATTCTGATCGTCGTCAGCATCCGAGTGAGTTTTTCTAATGAACTCTGAGAATTGCGCACCAATTAAGGCTTGCAGGTGAATAAAGTGACCGTTGCGTGGAACGACGGCGCTATAGGTCGCAGGAGCTTGGCTTCCACTGATTGTTAACTATTAAATTCCGGCTGCGAAAACTAAATGTACCTAAAGCGGACTAATCATCTTCTCCTCTACGGAAATAAAACTTACCGCCATTAGCCTCGATCACTCGCTCCTGCGAAAACATTTTGCTCGCACAAGAACTAATCTCAAGCAAATTCATGGATGTAAAGTAATCTAAATCGAACCTGAATGCGCTGAGAAACAAAACACTTACACATAAGCTGGGCCACCAGATTCTCATTAATACGCATGACTTTTGTGGATGAAATGAACATTGCTGAATAGGTATTAATGCATGTACTTTCAGTAAAAAATCCTGAAAGTTAAGCCTTTTAACATTAAGGTTGACTACTCGTCTCCAGAAAGTGCCTCTTTATTTACACAAACAAAAATGGAGCTTTATTTTATCTATCTGTTTACCTAGGTCACTAATTCTCGCGAATTCTCCGATGACCATTCGGAAAGCACTTTTTTCTGTTACCGAATAGACATTGGGGAAAGGAAGATCTCAATAAAAAGAGTTTTCCTGAATACGTAAACAAATACGTTGATAAACGATACAAGTATTAACGATGAATACTGGGTTTAATAGATGTAAAACAAGGCGCCATACAAAAAACATTTGAGACTGCGATTACCAAAACCCGTCTAAAGAATAAATGTTTATCGTACAGGTGAAAATGCGCCATCATGCAATCGAACGATTCGTCAGCAGAAAATAGATTCACTTTAATATCGCGATTAGCAGCAATTGGCAAAGCTCAAAGTTGCAGCGATTATCATACCTCAAGTAGCCAAAATGCAGTCCATGTTTCAACGACCGTGGGGTAAACGTAAGCCAGGTACCACAAATAGCTGCTATGTGAATGATATAGAGCCTTCCGTTGCTTTCGGAATAGTAGTTCCCCTAAATATCACCGAAGGAATCCCTGAGAAACACACTGCATACATTGAATCTCCACTGCCTTGTCTAGGATTAACTGGCTTTAATTAATTTACCTTCTACCATGGTCAGTCAATTGCCCACGCCAGTTTATAGTGATTTCTTGCGAATTCGGCGACGAAGAATCAATGTAGCAACAGTGCAGAAGCATGTGGAAATACACTTCATATCCGAAGCTCTGCGTCATTTGATATGACATTAGAAACCATTTATGCGGACGTAGCACAACTGCCACGAATTAAACCTCGCCTATTGTTTTACATATACCCCTAACAGCATTTCAGTTGCATACAGTCACCAGTCTTCTAGTCAGGCTACACCCGTTTTCTGGAGAAAGGTTGTGCTCCATCGGTCGCCGCTCGTAATCGCAAGATGTAACCTAGAGGCAGTCTAACTTTCCCAAAGAATAAATGAAGGAGAATAATCTGGTTTGGCATATGCGTAGCTTGAACTAAAGATATCGTTACGCGCATAACGCAATCGCTTCTCCGATGTTACTTAGAGAGCAAAAATAAGCCAATGGAAAACTTCGGTTTGTATTTAGTTTCACCTGAAACCAATGGATGATTTGAATACCGTGGTTCCTAATTTAGGTTGCCATACATAAGAACATGAAACTCAAAGTAGAAGTTTAGCTTTAATTTGAATTCCATTGGTTAGCAAATGGTTCATAAAATTTGTTGGGGTTCTGTACGGTTTAGCTTCGACATAACCAAAGCTATCTGAACGCCAGAAATCTTGATCGATCTGCTTAGCTGGAGAGTCTTGTTTAAACATATTATCAGCATTACATGAAGTGAAACTGTGCGGTATGCTGTTACGTCATTTGGGATTTTCACATTGATCAACATGTGCTTACCTTTCGATGGAACTCCAATCAGTTATGGTCCAGGGAACACGGTTTTTAAAAGATTATTGGAATTCCATTATGCCTCAAAATCTTTGGTATTTACACCAAATAAGCCTATGAATGGTGCTGAAACTCATCAGGAGGACAGATCTTGTCGTTTTCGCCATGAATACTTACATTATTCTGTGATAAAATGGAAAAGGTTTCCTGTCCGGTATAATTATAAACAAATGTGCTTTATTTGTAAAACAAGGGTAGCTCTCTAGCAGATTTTTATCAAAAATAAGAGAGAAGGTGAGAGCGAGCTCGGTAATATGCTGCTAAAATTTAGGCAGCTGGTTTTATGAATGCTCACTGAGAGATAAAACAAATTAGATGAACCTGACAAACTTGATATAAAAGATGTATTTAATTTTTCGGTGACATGGATGATTCCTCCAATTCAACGTGCTTTTTGAAGAGTGTGATTGCCAATAATTTCAGAAAATTTTCACGCTGATGCATGGTCTAAGTGGCATCATAGCACACAAATATTTTATCTGCCGGGTTGCATGCATATACCGAAAATTTTGTTTGACATATGTTTCATATACTTGGTTGTATTTAAAGGATCTTCATTTCGACTATCTTCAATGACTGAATAAACATTGTTAAACATTGTTTCCTCCGACATCGGTATGATTTAGGCATACACTAAATTTCAATTCTGCATCACTCACTTATGGCTACGAAGCGCAGCCCCTCCATGTAAACGTCATCCAGAGACTGCCTGTTAAAGATAACCGCCTTTTTGGTACCCACGGAATTTTCCATTGACAGAATTGCAATAACAATAAAGACGATATCATTTGTATTTTTTATCCTGAACGTGCAAAGCAATCACGAAGCCGCGTACTTATTTACAAAGGCTTAAATAACTCGGATATCCTCTCCGTACGGTTCCTGCAGCACATATTTGCGTATGTCAGCGTTGACTTAATGAAAGCTGTAGTTGGTAAATCCCCAATCCGCTGCAAGATGTAAAGCGCTGACCAGAATCTGGATAACTCGACTCTGTTCAAGCTTCCAACTTAGAAGCCCATGGTCAGTGAGCAAACTTTGATCAAAACGCGGGCTATAATGTCTTGAAATCCTACTGCGTAGCACATATTGCTTGTTTCTCTCCTGCCCTGACCGCATTGTTTATCCACACATTATTTGCGATTTGTGTTGCAAATTACTCAGGCATTACTAAATCTATATCCATTACAAAAGAAATATCTCCTCCGTTTGATTTGTACTTCGATTTAGTGAACAGTTGTCGCTACTAACCAACCGCTTGTTTTCCATCCAAGGTCAATGAGGGCCAAATTGGAATGCCTCTACACAGTTTTGCATGACAAGTGTCCATCAGATGCAGTTCGACTGATTATGAATTATTTCATGGAAACACTTCCCGTTGGCTGTCTGTTCACTTATGATGACCGTTTGCTCCGACATTTACAAAGCAAAAGTAGCGGTACCGGTGAAACACGAAAGGATCATGATAATAGAGTTTTTATGAAACTGAGAAAAAGTGGAACAGAGGATGCTTTACAAGTTACTGCCTTCCAGGAAAGAAATCGGGGAACAAAGCAAAGCATTCAACAACTATGTCACAAAGTTATCAGCGTAACCTTACCAACGATTATCCTTTGGAATTATTTGGCTGCCTGATCTAGATGTACTCAGTGTGTATTTCCATCTGCATTATCTTGCATAAATATAGAGCCGATTATTTTATCTTTATATCACAAGTTACAAAAAGTTATTATGTCTTTTCTAAAGCTAACTTGTGTCGTATAATATTCAGCGAGTTCCCACTCTTTCATCGCACTGAGTCTTATCGAACGTCAGGGAAATTATTTTATTTTGAAGGTCCGGGCAGTTGGACTCCAACGGACAGATATTATACGAACAATAATGCACTGGAGGACCACCTTATTAGGTTTGGCGATATCGTGTGTTAGACATATCATGCCGCACCCAGTTCCATAACCTTAATTTTACGGACAGAGAAACGAGCCACTTTACCATGAGTGACGTTGGCTCACCCACCTGACCAATTTCTAGCTGTGATCTAGTGCGGTTCCTTCTGCGGTTTACGAAGGTGAAAGTGACCGATTTACGATATTTACATAATACTCCGGGCGCACATTTTTGAACAGAATGTTCTAAATGCACATCAACACGTCGGATCGAAGCGAACATTGAAATCGATAGACACGACTACGATGGCTCAGAAACAGAAGAAGGTAATGTTTCTAAAACGCTCGTAATATGAACTTCTGGGCAAAAGAGCCCAGACAATAAAGAAACAACGGCTTGTTCTTCGTGAATCCGGCTATTACGGACTCGATCCTCTCTACGAAGGATGACATAGGCAGGTGACTTATTGCTAATATAACTAAGACTAGCTCATCTATATTTGCTGCCAGTTTCGCCCTGTTCCTATCCGGACGTGATAAATGTCTGTAGGCGTGAATTATGTCTAATTTCCTTTGATGGAATATTAAATTGGCATAAGTAAATATGCCAACTATATATAGCAGGTGCCAGGTGTAAAATCAGTGATCATCAACTGCGTTTAGTGGACGCCTGCTCAGTCAGCATGCATGCGTATGTTGACAAGAATTCAGAAAATCTCACCTTGCCATTTGGCGCATCTCTGTGTGCATACAGTGTCATTTCATACGTCCACGGAAAGCATTTGCAGATCATTACATAAAATTAGGCGTTCAGAGTCCACGGTAGAACTCTAAGTCAAGCGATGCTTTTGAGCATAGCCTATCACGTCTAGTGGTCAGAAAGTAACCGAATGGCTTTCATGAATAGTGCGGACCATTTTATCGCCAAAGCGGGCCCAAAGTAAGTTGGCGCTAACAATAAACGGATTATCAAGTAAACACGGGTGCAGCAGCAGCTCACCGCTATAAGTACAACAGCTTATTCTGTCGAAATTAACATACGTTTGGTTTCTGTTTCTGGTTTTCCATTTGTCCCCCAAGAAAACACACTTCGCAATTAAAACTTGTTACGTTTTGGCGGCATGAATATGATTATTCTGTGTTTTTGGTGGCTTTGTTTTCCAAGTAGTAACTTCGTACAGTCAGGATCGAACCAAAGTTTATCTGGCGTAATTTTGTATTTCTAATTTGGCTCCACAGACTGACCCAGTTCGGATGGTAAACGCTACTATAGTGGGTAAATATCCGTCCAACATTCAATATTTGGCAAAATATTAACATAACATTTTTCGTTTTATGTTAAATATGTTTGGCCATGTTAGCAGAATAGTCATTGCCTGGTTTTCTTGCTAACAGAATCGCGCCGTTGGTTAGCTTTTTTCGCTGAATCGTACGAATAGGTCAGCTGAGTAGCTCATCGCGCTGTGTGGGTTGCGTCCTTGTGTAGCTGGATCGCAAGTAAGGCGACCAGTTTAGAATGTTATAGTGCCTGACAGCTTGATTGATCGAACCGACTAAAATGAAAAGCGACGAATGTTGACCGACACTTCACGGAGAACGGAGCACAAGCTAAACGAAATGTACTATGTTGCCGTCACTCCCACGGTTATGGACCCAGCCGAGATAAAGATTAATGGAAACTCTTGAGGGCTTCTTTCTATATAGAGGTCAAGCATTTCGTGGGTGATTGTAACGAGGTAAATTGTGAGAATACAGTAAAGCGAATGAGAGCCCATATTTGTAACTTTAATAGAATTAACGTCCTCAGAGTCCTCAGTAGATGGGCACGTCACGCAGAAGCTATTCGTTTTAGCTGTGTACTGATGTATCCAGCTAGCCGTTGTACAAAACCTAAGGATGCATATTTTTCGTTAAATTGCATCGCAGATTCAGGCAATGAAGTTGCATATCAACAGGAGTTTTAGAGCAAAATTTATGGATGAACCAGACCATCAGTATCATGCACCACGTGAATGTGTCATGGCTGCGGACCAGTTCTTTAAAGTAGCGATTTGATAGTTGAATTGGCCGTACTGACCAAGGTTGCAACCGCATAATAGTCATGTAGATGCCGAGCAATCATAGTAAATAATTTTTCTCATATGTATCACAAATGTCACGTGTCGAAACAGTGAATGCTAAAAGATATCTTGTTTATCCAGTGCATGCAGTAGCAACAAATTAATATTGTATTTGCTGCTGGATTCCGAACCTTTGTTTAATCAATTTGACCTATGTCAGCTATATTACTTGTTATGGAGTCTACCACCATTTTAACTATGGAATGGTTTCTTGAC